CGGGAATCGGTTGTCAATCCTCTTGACAGAAATTAGCTACCATTGCAGGGAAAGAGATGTTGCAAGCCAAACCTGCATTACACTCGATATCTTTAAAGGGCCTGGTGTTCCTGCTTTGGAATGACTCAACGAAATGTCCTCAAGGCGTCCCTTGGGAGACTTCTCTCCTGTCCCACCTATCTGCGGTCCTTTGACCACACCCAAACTTTGCTCCCACTCTCTGAATTTCCCAATTCTCAAGGATTTGTCACACTGAGTTATTATAGCACCCCAGTTCACTTTCACTCTCTTAATAGTAATGTGGAAATTACTCATGTTGTTGACTCCTCGAAAATAAATTTGTAATGATTTTTGTCTGAGTTGTGACATAGTATGCTTCCTTGATATCTCGAATCCAAAGGATAGAGACTGAAATGGTCACAAAGCTTACTGATAAGAGCTAGAAAACAGAGGTCTGATGGCAAAGTGGCCATTAGAAGAAGGACTGTAAACTTGTAAGGTGAACAAGCAGATACAGGATTAGCAATCACGTACAAAAAGAAACTATGCAATTAAAATTGTTATACATATATGGAATACTACGCTGCTATAAAAAGAAGGAATTCTTACCATTTGACAATGAGAATGTGTTAATGGGTTGACCATTAGCTTGATGGTTGAGCGTTGACCTATGAACCAGGAGGTCACAGTTTGATTCCTGGTCAGGGCACATGCCTGGGTTGTGGGCTCATTCCGCAGTAGGGGGTGTACAGGAGGCAGCCGATCAATAATTCTCTCTCATCATTGATGTTTCTATCTCTCTCTCCCTCACCCTTTCACTCTGAAATCAATAAAAATATTTCTTTAAAAATAATTGCATGAATGAACAAATGAAGGAACTCTTATGAACACTCAAAAGAGACAACACCTCTGAGTTCATACATTACAGTGTGATAAATCTTGTGATTGATCTTGTATCATAGGAGCTTGATTTAGATTTTTCAAGATTTTCTACATATACAATCATGTCGTCTACAAATAAAAACAGTTCACTTCTTCCTTCCCAAAACCAGTGGTTCATTACTCATAGTTCATTCTTTTGCATTGTTGTGTAGTATGCAAATCCCCCAAAGCAAATGCAATATTACTTTTCTTATCTAATGGTCTGACTTTTGATCAACATCCAGAAAAAAAAAGCCAGGATCCTTTCTCCTACATGAAAATGCCCTAAGGGCCTAATGGAATAGACAGAGCCGGTCCCCACATCCAGGTCTCTGCTCCAAAGGAGAGGAGAGGAGATTTTCCACTTCTGGAGAACACTAACTGAGCATTGTGAGCAAATAGGCCATAAAGAGCTGGCCTGCCTCTGTGGTGTTCCCCCAGCGTGCTTCAGTTTTTCCTAGGCTGCTGCTGGAAGGAAATGAAACACATCAAAGACGTGGAAAGGTGGAGAGAAGCCACTAGGTACAGACTCGCTGGCTATAGGACAGTGACAGCTAACAGGGGGGATGGCGACGGAGCACATCAAGCAGAAGGGCACAACCATCTGGGATAATTTACTGCAGAGAAAATGCCCGGAAACACACGGAGTGTTCTCTGAAGGCAGCACTGGGGGGCTGCCAAGTTCAGAAACTGAGGTTCATGAGGGAAAACTGGATGAAAGTTATGCCCAGAAGAGGAGGAGAGGATCTAATATTATTTACGTGCTTTCCATCTCTACTCTCCCCATCTCCCCCTTATTAAAAACCAATCCTGTGATAATTTTTTCCCAATTAAATGAGACATAAGTGAAAATTAATAAAATACCTTTTTAATAAGAAAATAAATTTCAAAGGGAGAACCTAAACCTAATAGAACAATTGCTGTGTGATGGACAAGCAAGGGTAAATGGCCCAGTAGTCACAGAATGAAGCATGTAGTACAGTTTATAAAGATACATTAAGTAGATGGAATTAAAATGCTTCCATGCTGTAGGGGCAAACTTTATTTACCCAGACAATCTGATAAGCCAATGGCATTATGCAAAGCAGGTATTTATAACCTAAGCCTTAGGAACTTGACATTTAATAGTTTCTCTTTTTTTTTCATACTTAATTATACAGAGAAAAATATATTTGATGACAATGAGAATGTGTTAGTGGGTTGACCATAATCGTGTGTGTGTGTGTGTGTGTGTGTGTGTGTGTGTGTGGTTTGTCAGTTTTCCCAGCTTAGAGCTTGAATTCGAGAATACATATTACTGGAACAGATTTTCAACCAATTTTAAAATGTCATTTGCCATCATTATAATACATCTGTGTAAAGGAGGAAAATGATAGTATGGATAGTTCTAAGAGGCAATAGAGAGCAATGTATATTTGCTTTAAGGATGTGTGTCTATGTGTGCCTACCTATACCTCCTTTCTTGGTATTCCAGTGTGTAGGTCTGGCTTGAAAAAACTTCTAGCCCCTCTTGACCTTAGGAAATGAAGAACGAAGAGAATTCGGCTTAATTCCATCCAGTAGGGTGTTTTGAATATCTGCTATGTTTTGATTAGTGATATTAAGTAACAGAAAGCATCTCTTTAGCAGCTTCAACCCCAAAGCAGATGTGTGTGTGTGGGGGGGAGGGGGGGTTGGGGGAGACTACATGAGGATGCAGAGCAAGAAGGCATCTGGATCTCAGGAACAGAGAGTAACCAAGACCTAGAAAGCTGTCAGGACCCGCTCTGCCTCTCTCTGCTGGCTGCCTCATTCTTTTTCCTCTGTATTCTGAAGCCCTTGCTCTTACTTCTTTAGACCTTAGACAGAAATGAGCATGTGAAACATCTACCTAGACCAGCCGTGGGCAAACTACGGCCTGCAGGCCGGATCCGGCCCGTTTGAAATGAATAAAACTAAAAAAAAAAAAAAAAAAAAAAAAAAAAAAAAAAAAGACCGTACCCTTTTATGTAATGATGTTTACTTTGAATTTATATTAGTTCACACAAACACTCCATCCATGCTTTTGTTCCAGCCCTCCGGTCCAGTTTAAGAACCCATTGTGGCCCTCGAGTCAAAAAGTTTGCCCACCCCTGGCCTAGACAGTCTTGCAATCTCAAAATCACTGTTTCCGATCCTCAGGACAGGGAAACATGCCGGCCCCGTTTAGTGTAGGTTAAGCCTATCATCTGTGGTAGGTGTGACAAGATCACATATAGAGAAGTGGCTAAGAGGGAAATGCCCCCAAAGAGGAGGAGGTAGTTTCCAGAGAAAAGCAATTACTTAGAGGTAGGCAGACAGTCTCTACATTGTGTTTGTACATGATTTAGCCTAGAATAAGCACTGTGGGAACAAAAGAGATGCTTATATCATAGCTTCTGTCTTTACGAAAGTCGCGATCTCATAAACCTACATGTGTACGTGAAGGAGTAGAATTGAGGACTGTGATTAAATACTGAAGTGATGGCTGCTGGATATCAGGGGAACATGGGGAACGTAAAAAAGACATGGGTGCAAAGCTTCACTCTGCCTCCTGCTCTTAGGTGTTCTTCGTGGGTCACAGGTTATTCTTTCGTGGGTCTTCATCTTACTTGTAAAATGTGGATAATTATATTCCACTTAAAGGCGTTTTGTAATGATTCAATACAGCACTTAACAAATGCCTAACACGGTGGAATCCCAGGTTACAACAGTTTGTTTCAATGAGCCTGTGGCCAACAACCTGGGTGGATTGCTGGACTAGATGTTGGGAACAGAATTAAGACATAGACATTGGTTATCCTTGAGGAAATCGCAGTCTGTTGTAGTGGGAAGGAAGCAGATGAACAGATAAGTTCAATAAAATGTAGCATTGAGCCCTGGCTGGTTTGGCTCAGTGGATGGAGCGTCGGCCTGTGGACCAAAGGGTCCCAGTTTCGATTCCGGTCGAGGGCACATATCCAGGGCTGTGGGTTCGATCCCCAGTGGGGGGCGTGCAGGAGGCAGCCGATCAGTGATTCTCTCTCATCGTTGATGTTTCTATCTCTCCCTCTCTCTTCCTCTCTGAAATCAATAAAAATATATTTTTTAAAAAAATGTAGCGTTGACTATGATTCTGGATGTGATTGATCTGTGATGGACCTGAGAAAGTTTTGCAAAGGTGCTGGGACATAGGCAAGGCCTTATGCAGGTAGATAGGTTTTGAACAGGAACATTGCTTATCAAAATGGGTTAAAAAAGACCCTTTCCAAACACTGCTGGGCTCAAATAAAGAAACTAAGGAAATGATACAAATTTCAAGCAGGTTTCTACATGGTAAAGGAACCTAGAAAATCCACACTGTGGATTATGCAGTTGTAAGTAGCAGGACATATTTTTAAAAAAATATATTTTATTGATTTTTTACAGAGAGGAAGGGAGAGGAATAGAGAATTAGAAACATCGATGAGAGAGAAACATCGATAGGCTGCCTCCTGCACACCTCCCACTGGGGATGTGCCCACAACCAAAGTACATGCCCCTGACCGGAATCGAACCTGGGACCCTTCAGTCCGCAGGCCGACGTTCTATCCACTGAGCCAAACCAGTCAGGGCAGGACATATTTTTTTGAGCTTCGGGGAAACAAAAATACTCAAGAACAAAAATGTATGTTTGATTTAATAGTGTAAGTTCAGAAAATACATCCCACAGGCTAACACTAGGTAAGTTTCAGAACCACTCTTTGCTAGATTAACTGGAAGAAAAAGGAAGACATGATACCAGCGTTTGACATTTAAAGTTGCTGTTTCAGTACACTTGTCAAAGCCAGCCAGGGTGCTTTGCCATCTCAGAACAATTTGTTCACTTAGAAATTAGAGGTGTTTGGGCCAATAAATCGAAATTTATTTTGTAGTAGTCATTTCTCTTAATGGAAGTGTTTTCCAGATGTTGCCTAAGTCTAGTCGTCCGGGCCCTCTTCCAATAAATGAGGAAAGTTTGATTTCATTGGTTGTCACTGTTGATTTTGTCTAACCTTTGGACTAATGGGTTCATCCCAGTATATCTGCACTGATATATATATGACTTCCAGGACACTGGAGAAGTTCATCTATCCTCTTACCGGTAAGTGTCAAAGTCAACTTGCTTCGTGGAATTAAATTTTTTCAATTCAATAGGGATAAACTTTATTAAAGGTTTTTGAAATAGCTTTGTAAGGATAGTAGTTGGACAGTTTGGGAAAAGATCACATTTCTGCAATCCACCTGTTGGAAGCTTGTAAATTGATATTGAGAGTGAAGGGGAAGTTGGAATGGTAACTCCTATGTTTATCAAATTCAATTTTACTGAGGCTGGTTATTTTGTTCCTTAAGATAGAATTTAAACCTCGCACTGTAAGTACCTGTTTTAATGTTAATAGAATTTTAAGATAAGTTTGTATTCTATTGGAATTCTAAAGAATTAAAATGTTCAATGACATGACTGAGATGGTGACTTGATTTCTTCTGCATAAGATTAAATCTAATCATCAAATAATTACTATAGAATGAAAGCTGACTAAAAGTCTTGCTTCGAGAATGGGGTGGTTTTATCCTTAAATTGCATTTTAAAAGTTACCGAAACATGAATGCAGCACAGGCATAAGCTCGTGGTGAGATTAAAGAGGAGTTTTCTGATACTTTTGTTTTCTTGTCAGCGATGGCCATGGAGTGGAAGATACTTCCCATTCACTTGTTGCTGCTACTTTCTGTTTTCTTGATTCAGCAAGTTTCTTCTCAAGGTACCTTAACCATCCAAAACTGTTTTATTTCACAACTATTGCTAATCATTCAGTTCTGACTCTTAGGCCAACAAAAGAAATAGACGTCTAAAAATGTATATTTGTTTAAGTTTCATGCAGAGTACAACCTTATTATGTAAAAAAGTACCTTTTATGAGCATTTTGGAATTCTCTTGTCTCCCATGTTACAGAATCTTTCAAGAAGTTTTGAGCTTTTCTATAGAATAATTTTTGTATTCATTATGCCCAGGGTTATCCCAAAAGTTAAAAAATACATATATAGATGTTGCTGGGGTGCTACAATATTATTTGATTAACTGATAAGACCAGTATTGAAATAGCATATAATTTTTATCTAAATGTTTATAATGAAATGTAATCTCTTACATCAAATAAAGTATTGATAAAGCACTTCAGTGGACATCTGCAATATTTGAAATGGCATTTTATTAGTCTTGAAAATGCTCTCTTTCTTATATAAGGACTGTTCATCCAGATATGGAATTACACAGATGTGAATGTCATTTGATATTAGGTGCATGATTGTTATGGTGAAATTACATTTTTGAAATAGACATTTCCAGTGAAATAATTAAAATTCTCATGAACCTGAGCAAGGAAGGTAACTGCCTGCTATGGGCATAGTTTCAGAATCGCTGAGATAAGAAAAGATGGAAAATGCATGAAAGCAAATATAAACATTTCAAAAGGAATGATGACGGCTCTGGTATCTCCAGACCCCGGTGCTCTAACCCACCTTTCCTCTGTGATAGTCAGTTGTTCACTAAAACGGTTTACTCTCCTTAAGTAAATGAATTTAAAATTAGCTATTAAAATGAATAGCAAGAGAAGTACAGACATTTAATCTATGAAAATAAACTTTTCCTGTAAAGACATTTGATTTCCTATTTCAGAAATCTGCTAACGGTAAATAACATTTTGATGTTGCATCTGCTTTTCTTGCCTTCTCAACCTCTCCCCATTCCCTTTTTCCTTTATATATAATATATGTATTTATATACATACACTATATATGCATCTGTGTGTATTGTGTGTATATGTATGCAAACACTTCTGAAAGTTTTCCTAATATTTACTGTTTAATTTGCATATTAAGACCTTCACTCTCCTGGACTCATCATTTTGAGATTTTTTTCCCAGTGTGTTTTGAAAGTCCTTCTATGGATTTAGGACATTGCACCTGCCAATTTATATTCCAGAGACAGACTTAATGGTTGCTTTTCCATGGTTATCTCTTCAGGGAGGATTTCAAGGTGTTTTCCAAATGATTTTGAAACTATATTGGAGGATAATTATGCTTTTGTTTTTTTTTGGTTTTTGTTTTACCCAGAAATATTCTGTTCATGACCTTTACATTCATGTCCAGGTCTTATTTCAATAGTTATTCATTTTGCAGTCATTTTAGCAGTGGTTGTAAACATCTGACTTCCCTGACACTTAAAGAACCCAGTTCCCCCCACCAATAAAAGGGAAAAGACACCTAGGAGAGTTTGTGCAGGTATAACCAGCTTTCTTTAAGCTCATCAAGAACAAGAGGCACTGTGATTATTGGGAAAGTTTGGGTTTTACAATCAGATATATTAGAATTCAAATTCTAAATGGGCTGTTGACTTAAGATCTATAATAATCAAAGCATAATATGCTAATTAGACCAGACATCCAAACGACCTTCTGGATGTCATTCCAGGAGTCCTTCTTGATGAAGCCACAGCAGTGGGGACTGAGGCAGAGGCACATAGGGGCGATCAGGCAGGAAGGCAGAGGGGTTAGGGACGATCAGGCAGGCAGGTGAATAGTTAGGGGCAATGAGGCAGGCAGGCAGAGTGGTTAGGGGCAGTCAGGCAGGCAGGCGAGTGGTTAGGAGCCAGGGGTCCCAGATTGCGAGAGGGATGTCCAGCAGTTGGACATCCCCCAAGGGGTCCCAGGTTGCGAGAGAGTGCAGACTCCCACCCCTCCTCGTGCAGGAATTTCATGCACCAGGCCTCTAGTAACTATATAATTTAGGGCCAAATCAGGACACTTCTGAGAGTGAAAGAGGTCAGTATGAATAATTAACAGGTATTCATTGACCTATAATACGCATATGCTGGATCTATTCACTAGCTTGGGTGCCCTGAAGCAAGTTATTAAAATTTCAATCTTTCAGCTTCCTTATCTCTAAAGAGAAGCTACTCAGAGTCTCTTGGCAACATTTTCAAAAGCGTTCGAGATAACATTATGACTCAGTACCCAGCACAGAGAGGCTCCAATGATGGCAACAAGCCATCATCTTAGCAACATCAGGAGAGCTGTAGCTGCCACCCCCCTCCCAGGAAAGGTGCAAAGCTCCTACTTTGATTTTCAAAAGAGTATTTGTCTTCTCGGTCTAGGAAAAGAATAAAGAGGGTCTGATAAAGATCAGGCAAAGATCACCTGGACCTATGGCTAATTATCATCCCCATCCTTGCCCAACGGATACAATTCTCTCTCCCCAAATGGCTCTATCCTCCTCCTGAGATCTCTCCCTCTCTGTAAGTGGTTTGGCCGTGTTTACCTATATTGTATGATTTTAGATGTATCAAGCTGTGCAGGGAGATGTGGGGAAGGGTATTCTAGAGATACCCCCTGCAACTGTGATTATAACTGTCAACTCTACATGGAGTGCTGCCCTGATTTCAAGAAATTCTGCACTGTGGGTAAGTGCCAAGAGCTGGCATCTCCCCTGTCAAGCATCGCTGTTCTTGAGAGTCCCTTGCTGTGCTCTGTTCACACTATTGCGCATCTTGTTGCTCAAGTGTCTTTCCCTTCCCTTGCATAAATGTCGCAGCGTGCTGTACCTAAGGATGGTGTCAAAGCTCGTCACTACTGGGGGAGTTTAAGCGGGGCCTGATCTGTCACTTGCACAAGGTTTTTGATTAGTGCCAAGTACAATGTCTTGTCTTCAATAGAGACTTAACACTGTGACTCTGGAATCATGAAGTAAAAAGTAATGAGTTGTCATTGCTTAGTCAGGAGGCCTTTCAGAAGTTTCACCAGAAGAATCTATGGTCCTAAAATCTTGTCTATTACTTGACTTTTTAAAAATATATTGACATGTTTCTAAATTACCTAAAACTGGCACGTTAATGATGAAGCATTAGTGTTTAATGATGAGTTTCAATGAAAACCCAAAAGGTTTGAATTTTCAGTGAATGGTAGGTAATATTTCTCTTGAATATATTTTTGGCCATTTTATTAACACAGAGACATGTCATATTTAATTTATAAAAATTTTAATTAAAATTGTCTCAGTTATCTTTGCTTTTAGAATTTGCATGTGAAGCTCATAAGTATATTGTTGTACAATGTATGTGTTGTGTTGTGTTGTGTTAAGGTAATTATTTCAAATAGGCCTTGTTGGAGTCATTGGATCTCTAACCAAGGTTTTTGTTTTTTTTTTTGTGTGTGTGTGTGTGTTTTTAAAATAAGCCTGCCTTACAGAGTCCATGCCATGGATTAGGCTATGTCTTTCACCTCTACTAAAATTTAGTTTTAAGGCACTAAATTTACAAGCAAACCTACCAAGAATTTGTTAATAGTTTGTCATAATAAAGGTCTCTGCATTATAAACAGAGACCTTTAATTCTGAGCTGAAACATTGATCCATTTGGAATATATTGTTGTAGGATCTGAATATTAAATTAACAGAAATCTATTACAATGAGTGATGTGAGGAGGAAAAAAGATGGAGGGATTTCCCATGAAGGGTCATTCACTATTGAAACATTTCCCATTGTCCATACATGGAAATGACTTGGGTAGCATTGGGGTGTCTCTTGGAACCTCGAAGGGCAAACATGTTTCCCTAAGTCCCCATATTTCTTTCTTGATTTGGGCTGTCTCCACTTGGGAAACCATCCATTTTCCTAAGCAAAGGACTTAGAAATGCTCTTTGGGGCTCTAGTGGGCTAGAAAGAAGGTGGGAAAGGGCTCCCCCTTCCTGGGTGTGGCTGTGTCGTCCTCAACAATCCTAATGCGCAATGTTTTGTTTTGCTCTGGGTAGAGCTCTCCTGTAAAGGCCGCTGCTCCGAGTCCTTTGAAAGAGGGAGGGAGTGTGACTGTGACAACCAATGTAAGAAGTATGGCAAGTGCTGTCCCGATTACGACGATTTCTGTGAAGGTAAGCATCAGTCCCAGGGGGTGCTTCGGGGTGCAGCCAGAGCTGTGCACACACCTTGGCCTCACTGATAACATCTGACACGCAGTACGACCCTCTGAGGTGTTGATTTCACTAACATTTAAGTTATTTCATTCTAATTTTGTTTCAACAAGATGAATTGAGGGGCGGCCGCCTCTCCCAACAGCACTCCCTGGCTCAGCCAGGCTCCAGGAACGCAGGTTGAGTAACAGAGGGTGGGCCTCAGTGTAAATGCTTCTCTCTGCAGGTGTGGTTCAGTTTCAGGTTAAATCAACAGTAACCAACTCCCTTGGTGATTTCTTGTCTCACCTGAATGGTCAGCTGTCCTTTGAACTATCTGTGCTTTACAAAGTAGTGTTTTTCAGTGTGTATTTAAATATATTTTATTGACTTTTTACAGAGAGGAAGGGAGAGGGATAGAGAGTTAGAAACATCGACGAGAAACATCGATCAGCTGCCTCCTCCACACTCCCTACTGGGTATGTGCCTGTAACCAAGGTACATGCCCTTGACCGGAATCGAACCTGGGACCCTTGAGTCCGCAGGCCGACGCTCTATCCACTGAGCCAAACCGGTTAGGGCTTCAGTGTGTATCTAAAGGGAGAATCAACACTTTTTTGCTTCTCTGAACTAGAACATTTGTGAATTAGTTTAAGGCACTAAATTTACAAGCAAACCTACCAAGAATTTAACTGTGCATTGTATGTCTCTTCCCATCTTGACAGTCCCTCTCTCTCCAAGTCCTGTGCCTGATAGTCAATAACAAGGGATAGTCTCATCTTAAAATCTTCTCTGGTTATGGGTCCCGAAGGAGTACTCTGAGAGTGTAGTAAAACCATCTAAATTTTACCAAAAAAACCCCAAGATTTAAAAATATTCTTAAACAATGGATTTCTTTCTGTTACCAAATGTTTGTTCTTAAAGCCTTTTGTTAAAACGAGACAATTTGTGGAAGCAAGTGTAGATGTGCATTGCTTGCATAACCCGATCATTTTATTTAGACAAGGCTGCACGCCCGCTCCTTTCCAGCAGTGGAGAGGGCAGAAAGCTGTCAGGCAGCTGAGCTGAGGGGCCTTTTTTCACCGTTCAGTGTTTTCACTGGAAAGCATTCCAGGAATAACGGAGAGGACACCCTTGTAATGGAAAACTCAGAGCAGAGTCCCTGCAGCTTTCAGAAGGACCCATGTGGGCAGGACATGTTTACTCACCGCCCTGAGAACAGTGCTGGCTGTGAGTCAGAACACTAGGAATGCATCTTGGGCAGAGATAGGTGGGGAGTGAGGAAGCATTGAGAGAACCTGTTAATAAAGATAATGCCTTAGGCTACTACAGGGTGGATCAGATTGCATGAGGTTTGTGGAAAACACGAGGAAAATGAAGGAACACCCAGAGCTACTATACTTCATTTTTAGAGAATAGCAACCAATTTATCTTGTTAACTCGCCACTCAGTTGTTTCAAGATTGCTGGATACTGCTTGTAGGCATCTGTAAATCTCAGTGATCACATTTCAAGAACTGGAGGAATCAGCAGTCGAGCTATGAACGTGGGTGAGAAAAGCCAAGAGGTTAAGTGTGTGTTGAAGATCACTAGTTAGTATGCGGCAGAACAGTTTCTCAAATTGAGGTACTTGTCGCTTTTGTAGGGGGGAGAAAGGGAGAGGTGCGGTGGTCAGTTCATGGAGACTGCAGCCATAGAATTCTGAGATGCTTGGTAAGAGCAGCGGGTTGATGGCAACCCTCCACTCCCCAGAGCGTCCCCACTGTTCTCCGCTTCCCACTTTCCCACAGGTCCCTCTCCTCTTCCTCTGGTTCCTAATGATCAAAACATGTCTCTCTTCTGGACATGAGAAGAGGTGGGAGGAGGGGTGACAAAAGTTTAAAAGAAACACATCAAACCATGAATAGCTGTTTGACTTGGGGAAGGGCAACAAGTTTTGAGAAAAGCATCATGGGAAACTGTGGAAGTTTTACAAAAGTGAATATTCATTTAGAACTTTCATGATAAATTGGCATCATTACTTGTAAAAGAACATGGAAACAAAAAATGTAATTAACTCTATTTCTCATCCACATGCAATAATTATTTTTACCACAGAAGGCAGACGCAAGGGATGGAGTTTATAAACCCAAGCACTTTTTAGATAAATACCTCCAGAAATCATCTAGAATAAATAACTGTTTGAAACAAGAAAATGAAGTTCAAAAGGAATTCACACTTTTCCCTAAGGTCTCGATGAGAGCCTTGCAGGACCAGGACTGGAATTTTCCTGAGCCCTGAGCCTTTGCTCCCTATCGTAACATAAGAGAACCAATATTTTATAGCAACACATCCTCAGAATTAATTGGTTTGGAGTAGTGATGGGCCACAGCCTGCCTACACTGGTTTTCACCAGCATCTACTTTTTTTCTTTTTAAAAAAATGTTTTTATTGATTTCAGAGAAAGGAAGGGAGAGGGAGAGAGGATAGAAGCATCAATGATGAGAATCATTGGTGGGCTGCTTCCTGCATCCCCCCCGCCCCCCCTACTGGGAACTGAGCCTGAAACCTGGGCAAGTGCCCTGACTGGGAATGGAACCATGACCTCCTGGTTCATGGGTTGACGCTCAACCACTGAGCACGCCGGCCGGGCAAACCAGCATCTAATCTTGAAGACAGATGCATCCATGGCTTTCACAGTTAGAGTTGCTGATGAGTACAAACAGATGTTAACCGACCTGTCTTGCTTGGCCTCAGTGCATAGCCCCACACCACCACCATCTTCAAAGGCTGCACCTCCGCCTGCAGGAGCACGTCAACCCATCAAATCAACAACCAAACGTTCACCCAAACCAACAGACAAGAAGACGACTAAGAAAGTTATAGAATCAGAGGAAATAACAGAAGGTAGGAAGATGACAGAAGGAGGTTTCTGAGATGAAATAACCTATAGCTGACTCCTCATAGAACAGGATAATCTTATGAGTCGTTAAAGGCTCATTATGCTTTTTGTTTACTTAAGTCAAAGTTTAAGCCAAAGTATAAACCCTCAGATATTTATTTTCCTTATTTACTGAACCCAGTATGGGTTTAAGTTAAAATAATCAGAGGAAACAAGTCTTAATGTTAAAAAAGCAAGACCATGATTTTTTTTTCAGATTACATTCAGTGAGTTCTGAGAAAGTTAATAGTTATGTTGCTATTATCTGTCATAAGCTCCGGTATCTTGCTTTTAACTGACAAATTAGAAGGGCAGTTGATTATGCTACCGTTAAATAAAATCAGAACACAGACATTTATTGATTAGTAAATAGCATTTCTTGTTGTATTTGGACTGGCAGTTCTTTCTTGCTTTAAATCACAATTGGTGTGATCACTTTTTTATTTGATTTATAGAACATTCTGTTTCTGAAAATCAAGAGTCTTCTTCCTCTTCTTCTTCTTCCTCTTCAAGTATTCGGAAAATCAAGTCTTCCAAAAATTCAGCTGCTAATAAAGAATTAAAGAAGAAACCCAAAGGTTTGAGCATTGATAAAGATCAAAGACTATATCAATGCCATAACAATAATTATCTAAAGTAATGCGTGTTGATAGAGTGATTTGAAGGTATTTTAATATTTGGGGAGGGAGGTGTAGAACTCTATAAAAGCTATTTTAGAAAATACCAATGCAAACTTCCTTTAGGAAATTAGTGCCAAGCAGCTAAGAAACCAACTAAAGCAAAGGGTAAGATGCTCTAGAAACTGAAACCACAGGATGGCGCCAAAGATGATTGTGGTTTTCTATTCCAGTTCCCGACATCGTTTTTCTTCTTTTCGTGTTTTCATTTTTCCTTCTCCAGATTTATTTTACTTAACAAATACTTATATACTGCTTTAAAATGCTAATTTATTAAATTCTCATACATCTCTCTGGGAAACTCAGTACTATTCTCGTTTACAAATCCTCTTTACCGTTTTCATAATAAATTAGATGTCATATCTGGCTGATTTTTCTGTAGTAGAAAATGTACTACAGAGTAGGCTCTTCCCTCCTGAAAAGAGGTTCCCTTTGTTCTGCTTTTTATTTCCTGAAATTCTAAACGATATTCTCTTTCCCCAGGAAGTACTGGATTTTGGATACTGGAGTTCTAAGGAACTATTTCCTGGGTGGTTGTGATTTCCCCTGAAGCCTTCTCTCTAAATGAATAGCCAGATATTTAATCTTTGCGTCATCCAGAGATTCCTGCACCCGATGGAAGTGCAATACATGTTTGCTGAATGAACTCATCTCATGATGTGCCCCTGGGGCTCTGTAGTTCACCTGTGGGGTAGCTGCTATGGCAAATTCTGTTAAATAGGGTCTTTTAGCTGCCATAGCATCCTAATTTCCTTTCTATACCCATGGGACTGGGCAGAAGAATGAGAAGAGCTAACAGCCCTGGGTATGGAAATGACTCAGCAGGGGCCAGGGGGGTGACTGGAGCATCCTTGGATGTAGCTGTAGAGGCCTCTCAGCTAACAGATGCAGTGAATCTACAAGATGTTGGAACTAGGTTTCCTGGAGAAAGGGGCACTGAGCAATGCGGAAGAGGAGGAGCAGAGAAAGGGAAGGCCAAAGGCTTTAATGTAAAGAGATGAATTAGTGTTATTGATCGTATGGGTAATTTCAAATTCGCCACGTGTCTCTATTGTAGTTTTACTTTGCATTTTACCCCTTATCTCATTCATTCCCTAAAACAGCCCACTAAGACAGGTTGAGTATTTAACATTTTACAATAAATTAATAGACATATTAGAGGTTAGCAACCTGCCCAGAGTCACACAGTCAGTGATAAGAATGGGAGCTTTACATAATTACTAAAGACAAACTATTCAAGAATAAAAGATGTATATTTTTTTCTCTAGTAAAAGATAACAAGAAAGAAAATCCTAAGAAGAAACCTGCCCCGGAACCACCAGTGGTAGATGAAGCTGGAAGTGGATTGGACGAAGGTGATTCCAAGCCCACCCCAACTCCTGACACGCCCACCACTCAAAGCACTAAAGTTACCACAACTTCCAAGGTTACAACAGTGACAACAGTAAGTCCTAAACCCAGCCCGTCACCGAAACCTGAAACATCCAAAGACACATCTTCAACAGCAAGTAAGGAGAAAACGGTTGAAACTAAAGAGACTTCTAAAACAACAAAAGAGACTTCAGCTAGTACATCAGAGAAGACGACTTCAGGTAAAGAGACGCGAAGTGCAGAAAAAACATCTAAAGATTTGGAAGCCACATCAGTTTCTGTTAAAACTACAACCGAAGCTGAAACTACAACCACATCTCTTACACCCACCACTCCTCAAACGCCTTCTCCCACCACCACCACCAAGGAACCTACAACCACCCCCAAAAAGCCCGAGCCCACCACCCCCAAGAAGCCCGAGCCCACCACCCCTAAAAAGCCCGAGCCCACCACCCCCAAGAAGCCCTGAGCCTAATACCTCTGAGAAACCCGAGCCCACCACCCCCAAGTTGTCTATCATCCTTCTCAGTTGATTTCAAATGCGTATGTCTACAGGGTAGGCTGCCCGTTATTTC